ACCAACCCTGCTTTCCAAGAAGAGTGCTTGTTCTGCACCCCCTGAACGCTGTACTCCCACAGGAATGTTTTCCCCTCCCCCACCCCAAACCCTGAGACCCCTCTGAAACTCAGAGCAGGATGCCTGAATGGGCTCTGGCCCTCTTGGGCTGGGCCACCAGCATCCGGGCTGTTCTGGCAGCCTTGGTCCTGTGGTCTTAGACAAATCTCCAGCCATTCTGTGCCCGATGCCTCTCAGGACAGCAGGGCTATCTTGACCCATCATCCCTTCCTGGCATACCTGTGCAGGCTCTCCCAGGCCACCTGTGCCCTATGTCCTCACTCCCGACCCTGAGGTGCCCTTCAGGGACTCTATTCCTGCTTCATGTGACCCCCACCCCCCCAAGATAGGTGTGCAGAAGGTGCACAGGACATCGGTAGGGTGGATGCCTTCCCACAACTGCAGCATTTATGGTGGTGCTGCACCTGATCTGCTGCTAGCCTGGGCAGCTAGCAGACTCCCCCACCGTGCAGATGAGGGCCAAAGTGTGGTAGGGGTCGGTGACTTACCTGCAGTGACAGAGCCAGGAGATGCTTGGCAGACCCAGTAGACCTACCTGACCCCGCCCACCCTCCACTGTCACCTGAAGCAGGCCTACAAAGCCTCCTGCTCTCTGCCCTCATCCTTGCGCCCGCTGTGTCTGCCCAAGGGGGGTGGGCCCTATCTCCTGACCCTCCCTGAAGCTTCAGCTTAGACCATGAAGTTCCTAACGTTGAAACTGTGCAGTAGGTTGAAGGACAGGCTCTAGAATTTTCCATTTCCAGCAGCCCCAGGGCGGCCTCCCTGGTTCCTCCTGATCTACTTGCTGAGGGTGTTTTCTGACCTTTCAGCAGGCCTGGTCCTACCAGCTGTAGGGCCAGCACAAGTCCTGGGTGCCTGGAGTGTGCCCAACGTGGTGGGGGCAGGAGCAGCATCCTGGGTAGAGCTCGGGGTAGACGTTGGCTGTTGGGTCCTCAGTGCTAAGCTGTTAGGTGGGCAGTGGGCCAGCTAAGGGCACTCTCCTGTGAGTGGTTGAGAGTTTGCAGCCCTTAGGAGGCTGGCCTGGGAAGGAGGAAAATGAAGATCACCTTGGGCAGAGCACAGGACCAGGAGAAGGTGGCAGCTGAGCTGCAGGTGCTGCTGGGTGTCCTCCCGTGCCCCCTGTTGGCAGAGATGCCCAGGAGCAGCTGACCCAGCATCCTGAGAGGAGGGTTCATAGGAACCCTTCAGGTGTGTTGGGCAGAGGAGGCACTGGAGACCTGGCCAGAGTGCTAGGGAGCCAGGGCAGGTTCCTGAGCAGGGAGGCACTAGAGGGCCAAGACCTTGGGCTTGGTGCTGGGTGAATGGAGTGGTTTGCAAAGGTGGGGAGCACCCATAGGCATGTGTCAGTGGGTCCTGCTGGGTAGCCTGGGGGTGGTACCCAGGGGAGGACACAGGTGGAGGGGGGTGGCTTGGGGGTGGGTACCCATAGGAGGACACAGGTGTGTGTGTGGGGGGGGTGTTGTGCTGCTGTATGCTTTGTCAATAAACTTTTATTGGGG